CAACGCCTCGCCCGCAGTAGACGTTCAGGGCATTTGTGATCATGACTGTCTCTATTGCCCAGTAGGATAGTTGAAGGGTGTCCCTTGGGCAGCAGCCCTCCCTTCCTTAGCTCCAGGCACCTTTCTGGAATACCTGTTTCCCTAATGTCACTCTCTGATCACCTGTGTGCCCTCATCAGGCTGTGAGGTCCCTCAGAGCAGGCACCAGGTATGATCTGGCCTGGAGCTGGAAGGGAAGGTGACAAGGGAGCAAGGCTGTGCATGCAAGGGGTCCTAGCATGAACAGTCATTAGTTTCTCAGCCCTGGACAATGTCTACTGTTGACCTGATGGACCCAAGTGTTGGATACTGAGCCCAACCATCTGCACGTGGCCTGGTTGGTCTTGTGGCGCCTATGGGGGCCTCACCAACAGTGCCTCCATCATGCCCCCACGCCTTCTGAGCCTTTGGCTTCCTCAGTGGGCACTGCTGACACCAATTCTGTGGCTTCTGAAGACATCCTGTGCCCTCTTCTTCCATCAGGGCATGGCACGAGGGACCAACCAGTTCTCCTTTGCTGTCTACACGGGCCTATGTCTTTCCCTGGCACTGGAGTCGGAGTCCCTGATATGGGTTACCGAGATCCAGCTCAGCCGTAGAGATGCCACCCCCACCCCCTCTGGCAGCACTGAAGGAACTGAGAGGCAGACACCCAGAGAGAATAACAAAGTGGGTCTATCCGGGGGGCCAGCAGCCTTCCAAGCTGAGAGCCTCAGGGGCTGGCAGCATTCTGGGCTGAGGGCCCTGGTCGACCCTGACCCATGCATTTACTTCCTGAACAGGTAGTCATTATTAACAAACAGGTGTTCGGTATCTTCTCACAACAAAACACACCAGGTAGTCAGCTGGTGCCCACTTATCACTGACCACAAACAACCTGAAAATTATTCTCCACAAGGGAGCCATGGGGGCCGGGGCAGGTAGCTTAAAGAATTGTTTTAACAGGTGTGTGATATTTACACATTGTCCTGCCGCTATGGAATGCTCCAAGTATTTTTCTGATTGGGGGGCGGGGTGGCTAGGTTTTCCTTGCCATCGTTCTTCCTGGCAAACAATATGTTCTATCATACACTCAGCATTTCTCAATATTCATACACTTAACACTTCTCAACAGTGGGTCACTAAGTGGGGTGAGTGTGAGGTGGGTGGGAGGCGCCTGGGAGTGGCAGATGAGTCCCTGCAGGTTTCCCTCCATTCTCTCCTCCTCTGTCGCCTGCCAGCTCCCAGCCACCACGGCCTCTCTCTGGACCTGGGAGGAGTAGCCTCCTAAGCGGCTTCCTGAGCCCGTCCTCACCGTGGCCAGAATTTTGGCCGTAAACATGCCAATAATCTCACTCCACTGCATAAAGCACCCCAGCGACTTTCCATCCGACTGTGAATACAAATCAAGCCTGGCACCTGCTCTCCCTGAACATCCAGCTCCTGCATCAGGGTCACCATCCCGGCTCTTCCCACGATGCCTGGGTGGGTCCCCGGTCCTCAACTCAATGTCACCTCTGAGGGGAGCAGGGCTTCCCAGACCCCTGAGCACCCCTCCCTCCTCTCAGATGGCTGCATTGTTCTCTCCTGGGCATTTAGTGCTAGCTGTCACGTTAATTCTCCCCCCAGGACAGGCTCCTTGTGAACGTGGGAACCTTGCCTGTCTCCCTCATTGCTGTGGGGACTGAGTGGTCTAGGAGTGTCAAAGTGGTTCTGAGCTCAGACCCACAGAATGGGAGACTCTGCCTTGCTCTTTCCAATGTCTTGGAGCCTCGTTAGGGCAAACGCAGTGATTGTTCTGGAAAGATCAGTAGCTAGGTGTCACGCCAACTGCATTGCAGCTCGGGACCTTCTCCCTAATTTGTGGGAAACTTACTGTGACTGACCAAGTCACTCAGTGACTGAGCCTCCTCTTGAGCTGGAGGGGGTTGGTGGTGAGCTCATCTTGTGCCCTGCCTGGCTAGCAGCCCGAGTCTGAACCCCATAGATGTATGGCGCCCGAGATCCCAGAACACACGGATGACAGATGCACCATGGCAAATGCACAGAGGACAAGCATGGTGGTGTAGAGTGCTACCTTGGGGCTAGAACACCGGGGTCGGAGTCTGGCCTCTGACACACACCGACCAGGTGACCTTGTCAAGGAACGTCTCTGAGTCTGTTTCCTCCTCTGTGGAACGGGGACAGTGACACCCGCTCCAGGCTGGTCGTGAGACTGAGAAACGATGACCTGCAACAGCAGCCCCCAGAGCAGGGTCCTCATTGTCCTCTCGAGCCTGGGCAAAGTGGCAGCAACTCGTAAGCACTCAATAATGAACACAGTCGAGTTTATTTCCCTCCCCCACCCCCTTTCTTTCATTACACTTTAAGTTCTGGGGTACATGTGCAGATCTTGCAGGATTGTTGCATAGGTACACACATGCCATGTGGTGTGCTGCCTCCACCCCCCTGCCACCTACATTAGGTATTTCTTCCAATGTTATCCCTCCCCAACCCCCGACACCCACCAGACCCCAGTGTGTGATGCTCCCCTCCCTGTGTCCACGTGTTCTCATTGTTCAATACCCACTTGTGAGTGAGAACATGCAGTGTTTGCTTTTCTGTTCTTGTGTCAGTTTTTTGAGAATGACGGTTTCAGATTCATCCATGTCCCTGCAATTGACATGAACGCGTCCCTTTTTACGGCTGCATAGCATTCCATGGTGTATATGTGCCACATTTTCTTTATGCAGTCTGTCATTGATGGGCATTTGGGTTGGTTCCAAGTCTTTGCTATTGTAAACAGTGCCATAATGAACATATGTGTGCATGTGTCTTTATAATAGAATGATTTATAATCCTTTGGGTATACTCTCTCTCCCTCTCTCTCTCTCTCTTTCTTGTTCTCTCTCTCTCCCCCTCCCCTCCCTCCCTCCCTCCCTCCTTCCCTCCCTTCCTTCCTTCCTTCCTGCTTCCCTCCCTCCCTCCTTTTCTTTTCTTTTCTTTTTTTGAGATAGGGTCCCACTCTGTCGTTCAGGCTGGAGTGCAGTGGTGCGATTTCGGCTCACTGCAGCCTTGACCTCCTGGGCTCAAGGGGTCCTCTGACCTCAGCTTCCCAAATACTTGGGACCACAGGTGTGTGCTTCCACACCCAGCTAATAGTTTAACATTTTTTGTAGAGATGGGGTCTCACTATGTTGCCCAGGCTGGTCTCTAACTCCTGGCCTCAAGCATTCCTCCCACCTTGGCCTCCCACAGTGTTGGGACTACAAGTGTGAGCCACTGCAGCCGGCCGAGTTTCTTGGGGATGATACTTGGAGGCCTTCGTTATGTAAAACAAAACCAGAACAGTTAACACTGAGAGAGGCCCTGGAGATGGTGCAGCCTCTTCCTTTGCGGTTGGCAAAATGGAGGCTCCGGCATTTGGGGAAGGCCTGTGGCGTTTCCCGTCTGAGCTGGGGTGGAACCGGCTCTTCTCGGACTCCACGTGCAGTGCTCCCCTGCCAGCGGCGGTCTGCAGGCCTCTTTTGGTCCCGCTTTTCCTCTTCTCCCCTCCACTGACCCCGCTCTGTTCTTCTCTGCTTCCTGTGTGAGACCAGATGTTCTCACAGCTGCAGAAGCCTCCGTTTCCTCTTCCCATTGGGTTTGAACCTGACAGGTTCGGGATTTACATGGGGGTGGGGGTGAGAGGGGAGGGCAGGTTCCGAGTTGGGGGCCTTCTTAGACATCTGGGCAGACCTCCCCCTCCCCAACTCCCAGGGCTGGGCACAGCGTGAATGCAGGTAGCCTGTACCCAGTGATTTGGCATGTGATTTCCCGGGGAGGGCGCTGGGTGCTCCAATCCTCTGGGGGCCAGAGGGAACCCCCCAATTCTCCATCTTTCCCAGATGTTTGAGGCCTTACTCCTCTGCCCCAGTAGGCTCTCTCTGGAGCCAAGAGACCCAGCTGGGAGGTGGGGTGTGACAGGGACCCTGGCCCAAGGGCTCCTATCTGGTGCAGGGCCTCTGAGGGAAAGTGGGGAGCAGAATGGCCCTGGCCTGGCAGAGGCTCTGACCCTTGCCTTGCCTCCAGAAGCGCCTGCCCTGTCTGTTCCTGGAGGCCATTCTGACACTCAGGGTGTGTGCTCCGTGAAGTCATTTTTATCACTACTGAACTAAAGTGGCCATGGGATCTTGAGTGGGGGCTTTCTGTGCTCCGAGCCTCAGTTTCCACATTCCTCACTGTGCCTGCCAGGTGCCTAGGACCTCACCCCCACCCACCCCCCACCCCCACCCCCACCTCTGCCTCCTCCCCAGGCCTCCCCACACAGAGGGTTGTCCTGTTCAGGGTGGCTCCGTCTTGGTCTCTGGATTGGGAGATGAAGCCACCGCAAGTCCTGATGTCTGAGCCAGAGGCCTGGCTGCCCTTGGGGCAGTCCCGCTGAGGACACCTGAGGCCCCTGCACTGTCCTCTTCCCCCCAGCAGTCTCCCCAGGGACCTTCCTGACCCTCAGTCCCCTCCACTGCCACCTCTTCAGAGGCCCCTGGAGGAGAACCCTTTATAATCCTCACGGGAACCCTGGTTCTAGCTCTGGGGGTTCTTTTGCCTGTGGATGTCCGCTTGGGTTGGTCTGTCTCCCTCAGGCTGTCAGCTCCTGGACGGGGACCTGCTGTTCCCAGCGGGAGCCCAGAGCCCCAGAACCCTGGCTGGGCCGCAGCAGGCGCTCAGGAAATACCCGGAGCGAGGCGGGAGGACGGGAAGAGGTGGAGAGCGGGGAGGGAGGACGGGAGGAAGCGCCGCGCTGGGAAAGGGATCTTGTCCTGGAGGTGGGGCCGCGCTCCAGGACCCCGGGCTCCCCACGAGCGAGCGTCTGGGCTGCGGGCCGGCCGGCAGGTGGCGGTGCGCGCTCGGCGTCGCGGGTGGCGCCGGGGCCGCCGAGTCCCCTCCTCCCGCCGCTCCCTCCCCTCGCCGGCTCCTTTCTCTGCGCTCTCGCTCGCGCTCCCCGGCGCCCTCCCGCTTTCCCGGCCGCGGTCCCCTCGCCTGCGCCGCCCCGCCGCCGGCTCCGCCGCCGCCCCTGGCGACCATGGCGCACCGGGGGCCCCCGCGTGCCCCGAAGGGCCCCGGCCCCGCCGCCCGAGCCCCGAGCCCCGGGGCCCCGCCGCCGCCGCGCTGGCGGCCGCTCCTGCTGCTGCTGCTCCTGCTGGGCGCCTGCGGGGCGGCGGGGCGCTCCCCCGAGCCCGGGCGCCTGGGTCCCCGCGCGCAGCTGACTCGGGTGTCGCGGAGCCCTCCCGCGGGGCGCGCGGAGGCCGGTGGCGGCGAGGACCGGCGGGCGCGCGGCGCGGAGCCCCGCGTCCCGGGTCCGAGTCCCGGTCCCGCTCCGAGTCCCGGCGAGGACGGCGCCCCCGCCGCGGGCAACCGGCGCTGGGAGCGGGCGGCGCCGCTGGCCGGAGCGGCTTCGCGGGCGCAGGTCTCGCTCATCAGCACGTCGTTCGTGCTCAAGGGGGACGCGACGCACAACCAGGCGATGGTGCACTGGACGGGCGAGAACAGCAGCGTAAGTGACCTCCGCGCGCTCGCCGCGGCCCCTGCCCGGGACCCCGCGGGACACCCCGGCGGGACCGCCACGGCCTCCACCCGCGACCACCCCGCGGTCATCCGGGGCGTTCGTGGCGACTTGGGCACTTGGGTCACCTCGGCGGCGCCCCTACTGGCCTCTGGTCACCGGTTACTTGGGGAGAGGTCCTCGGATTCGGGCGCCTGTCTCACCGCGGGCGACATTCCCACAGATTTCGGGATCCTGGGCCACCTCGGGGACTCCCCACTGGCCTCCAGGTCCTGGGTTACCGAGGAGGTCCCTAGAGACTTCGGGAGCCTGCAGGTCCTCGAGGGTCACGCCAGCTCGGTGTTAGCTCCCACACCCCCCAGGCTCCACCGGCTGAGCGTCGCCTTCTGGGATTTTGGGCTTCGGGATCCTCCCCTCCCTGGTCTACCCGGGACTCCGCGGTGGCATCTCCGCAGGCTCCGGGACTTCCCCCAGTCAGCTTGAATCCTATTCTGGGACTCTGGGATTTCTGGGTTGCCCTTCTCCCTGGGGTCCCCTAGTGTGACCCGTAGTTGCCTTGAGCTCCTGCTGCAGGTCGCCCCGCCTGGATGCACGGGGACCTGCGTACCCCACCGGGTTCATCCCCACACTGTGCTTGCACTGCAAACTCCCCACCCTCCCCCCACCTTCCCGGCCACTCTGGCTTTGCTCCAGCTGGAAGTTTGCCACCTCTGCTGGGGACCTCCTGCTCCTCCACCCACAGCCTGGAGCTCCTACCCTTCCCAGATCCTGCCCGCTCTGGCCTTTGGGGGTGACTGCAGGAGGCACAGGACCCTTCAGATTCTTCCCCTGGGAGCTGCCTCAGCCTCACTTCCCACACTCCAGGAAAAGGGCCGAGGGTCACTCTGAGGTCATCCTGGGGCAGCCTGGGGTGGGTCTCTAGTTTTGCAGCTTCCAGAGAAGGCCTGGGGTAGGGAGGTGGCAGCCATGAGTTCCCAGGGGCGGACACTTTTGTATGGGGAGTGAAGATGGGAGGCTTCCCTCATTCCTGTGCCTTGCTGTCTCCTCAGGTCCCCTAGGAACCCCCACCTCTTCTCACTTTACAGAGTCCCGAGGCGGTAGCGCTGGCCCAGGGTTCCTATATGCATGGGCGGTTGCCTGGGCGGTGGGGAGCGCTGGTCTCTGCAGCTAGGAAAGGGCACACTCCTGGCGGCCACTTGCGCTCATCTCTGTCCAGCCTTTCGGGGCTGCCCCAGGCGGCTGTGATTTGTGCTGGAGGAGGGATGAGGTGGGCAGATGAATATGTTGGGGCAGGGGAAGCACTAATTGGATTTAGTCGGCCTGGAGCCCAGCCCCCCCAACCAGCCGGCAGCTATCAGGGTGCAGGTGCCAAGTGTCTGGTCTTGGGTCATTCCTGGCATCTCCAGCCCAACTAGCAGCCCTCGGAGGGCAGAGCTGGCTCCCTGGGCCCAGTGGGCCAGCAGGGGACAGTCAGGGTGCCAACTGGGCTGACTTACGGAAGGTGGCAGGTGCCCCCTCCTTAGAAGAGCCCTGGTAGGGGGTGGGGCTCTCCATCTGCACCTTGAGAGAGGGGTCAGATGCCAGGTGTACCTGTGAACAAGTGGTGTCCGCTGTATCATAAGCTGTAATTCAGGCGGAAAGGTTACCCAGAAACTAAGAGCTCAAAGGACCAAATAAACACGAAAAGTAAATCCTGCAGGGCCAGCAATCTCTAACCCCCACCCCATCTGCCTAGGCAGTCGATCCTGCAGCTTGCCCCGGCCCCTTTGTCATTTAGCTTCCTGGGGAGGGGGTGGAGGAGCCCCACGGCAGGGGGCAGGCTAGCTGTCTTCAGCTGACACCCAGCCTGCCCCCATCCTGACCTCACGGTCTGGGTGTAGGGCAGCTTCCTGGGAGAGCGTTGAGGAGGGAGCTTGGGCCAGCAGGGATGGGCACTGGGGTGGGGGCTATCAGAGGAGCCCACGCATGTGACTTTTCTCCCTGAGGGCGGCAGCTGGGTTGGGTGACTCCTCGGTGACTGGGTGGGCTTGCATCCTCACTGCGGACAGGAGACAGAAAGTCCAAGGAACCAGAGAGGAGCTTTAAGGGATGCATGTCCTCCAGCCAGCGTGAGGCATGGGACAGGGGTGGGGTGCGGCACAGTGGGCATAGCCTGACACTTAGCAAACAATCAGGAAGCAGCAGGCAGCATGCCCTCATTGTGAGTAGTGAGTGTGGGTGTCCATGGGGTCAGATGCTGGACCAGGCATTGGGCTTCACCACCTTCCACTCCTGCCTCCCACACACCCATTCTCCGGACTGGGCAGTTGGGGAACACTTGATCATCCCGCACCTCGGGGAGCAGGTGAGGCTGTAGGAGTTTCATCTTGCCTGAGAAAACTCAGAAGAGGCGAGAAGGCTGTTACCTCGAGCTGATGAAGTAAAACTGCTTTAAAAGAAAAAATCCTTTCCCCAGTTCTTGTTGCATGCGTGTATTGTCTTCTCAGCACACAACGTGTCTTAGACATGTGCTCTGCCCCCTCTAGTTCCATCCTGCAAGCACAGGACTAAGACTTTAGCCAGGATTTGGCAGTGGGTTTCACGTCTGCCTGAAAGCACCATCTTTGAAAGCTACAACCAGACGGAAACTCACAGGGCTGGCTTGCTGAGCAGCCTTCCTGGCGTTGTGTGTCCTTACTTGCTCACTGCCCTCTGCAGATGTCGTCAACATGAACAGAGAGAGTGTTTACTCTACCACATCAGGTGCTCTTCAAAATTAAAAGGAGCATTTGATGAGGGGGATGGACTTTGAAACAAGGCATTTGAGAGCATCCCACAAGAAGGAGTCCCAGGATTTCAGCCCCCGGTGCTGCAGCTCCATGAATACTAGGCGAGTTTTCCTTCCAGCGGCTTGGTTCTGACTGCTCCCATGGAGATAGAGAAGGGGACTTGCTTGAAAGTTCAAACACTGCCTCCCTGTCTGACGTTTAGCTGCAGAAACAAATCGTTATGTGTGAAATTAATGTTTCATTGAAACCAAGAGGTATTGCGTTGTCACGGATGTAGAGTGGGCTGCGCGCACGCGGCTTGGGTTTTGTGTCTCCGGAGCTGCCCTTGGAGGCAGCGGTGCTATTTGAAGGTGGATAAATATTACAGAGTGTGGCTCTCGGCCTCTGGGGTTGCATTTTCATGTTGTCCCTACGGGGATTGTGCTGTGCCCCATCCTGTTCTTAATGTTTCTGGGAAACCGTGGGCTTATTGTGCTTATTTTAAACACAGCTCACCTGGGCTCCTTCCCACAAGGCACTTGATCCTCAACTTTGAAGCGGAATGTATCCTTTGACTTGAACGTGAGCTTCCTGCAGCCAGGTCCAGTTTGTTCACCTCTGTCATTGGTCCCCAAGAGGATCAGCCTCCCCTGCCCTCCCCTCCCCCAATGCCTCCTCCCACCCCGCCTCCTTCCCTCCCCTTTCCTCCTCCTCCTCCTCCTGCCCCTCCTCCTCCCCCTCCCCTCCATCCTCCTTCCCTCCCCCTCCCCTCCCTCTGCCCATTTTTCCAATCTGCTCTGTGCTGCGCCTACATGGTTGGTGGTATCCAAGGGATTTGAATGCAGAGGTGATTCTGAGCAGATCACCCACACCTCTGTTCTGCAGTCTTGATGAACTAGAGCGACACATCAGCAGAGCTTCTGAAACTTAGTTTCTCTGAGTTAAGAGGTCAAGAACCAATGGTCGGTGGCGGCTTTTTCTACTGTAGCACCCATGGCCTTTCTCAAGTGGCGTGAGAATTCCATCATGACATCTGCCAGGTGCCGAGTTCCTTGAGGGCAGGTGGATGCGCTTTCTAGGGCTGCCCGGGCAAAGTGCCACGGACTGTGTGGCTGAAACAACAGATGTATTTTCTCACAGTCCTGGAGGCTGGAAGTCGGAGATTAAGGTATTGTCCAGACTGGTTCCTTCTGAGGCCTCTCTCCTGGGCTTGCAGACGCCACCTGCTCCCGTGTCTCCACGCGGTCTTCCCTCTGCATGTGTCTGTGTCCTCGCTGCTGATCAGGGCTGATTCTAACCACCTCATTTTAACCTAGTTACCTCTTAAAGGCCCTGCTTCCGAATGCAGTCACATTCTGAAGTGCAGGGATTGGGACTTCAACATATGGATTTTGGTTGGGGGGACACAGTGGAGACCCTGATAGCAGGGAAGTGGTCTCAGCTTCCTTTGTATCCCCTGAATTTAGTAGTGGAGCTTAGAGTAGTCTAGTGGGAGATAAGAGATGGACATAAACAGCTGGGCTCTAAGGGGCCGAGTGTCACCCTCCCCTGATAATGCTGATGGGGAAATCAGGGAAGTCTGCATGGAAGAGGTGACATCAAGGCTGGCCTAAAGAATGAGTAGGTGGAGTACATAGGAGATGGAGAACATTCCAGGAAACAACATTCCAGCTTGAGCAAGTTCTGGGGGGTAGGAATTGGAAGGTACGTGTGTGTCATATAAAGTGAAAGTGAATGCATTAGGCAAGGAGACACACCAGAGGATGGAGTTTGGAAAAAAGTCAGCTCTGGATGGACCCCAGATGTGAGGCTGAAGAGTCTGTGCGGCAGGGAGGGGTGGTGGACACCGGAATCAGTGGCGCTTCGGAGGCAGCCTGCCCGGGCCTGTATCCTGGCCCTGCCCCTCTCTGGCTCTGGGATCCAGGGCAAATGGACTACATTCTCTGAACCTCGGTGACCATGCCTTGAAAAGCGGAGAAGTGAAGGCTCACAGGTTTGTGGTGCAGGTGAAGTGAGATCTTCCCCGTAGAATGCTCAGATCAGAGCGGGGCCCGCAGCGGGACCTCAGCGAATGGTATCACGAAACAGCCCTGGAGGCAGCGGGGGGATGGGGCTGCTGAGGGCCGCAGGGCGAGGCATCTGGACAGAGGCTCAGGGAGAAGCTGCTGCCAGTGGGAGGCTTGGGCAGGACCGTGGAGGGGCTGAGGGAGAGGAGAGCGGGTCGGAGAGAGGTGGGTGGCTGGA